ATATCAATGGATTAAATCAGAACCTGGCAGATGTTTTTTTCTAAGCATCTATCAATGACAACTTTTTAAAGACAAACAGAACCATATTCATTTCCTCTGCATTCCAGTGCTACGCAGCGCTGTCTTAATGATAAAAGCCCGTGCCAACCTGCGTAAAATAATGCCCTGCCAAGGAAGCGTTAATGTGTTTTTGTGCTGGGTTTGCACTAATAGATATTCCTGGACTCTGGCAACCAATGGGGAGAGAGGGAGAGAGAGGGAGAGAGAGGGAGGGGGAGAGGGAGGAGGAGAGGGAGGGGGAGGAGGGCAGACAGTGAGCAGAGCGAGAGAGACAGAGGTGTTCAGTGGAATAGTGTCATAGACTCTGCATTAACTGAAGAGAGCAGTGTGGATGTCTGGCAATGAAGTGACTCCAGCTGACTGAAGAGGCTCAGGCATCAGAACAAAGGAGAGGTAGACCGAGACGGAGAGACAGCCCAGGACAGCGCCGGCCAGCCCCCTCTGCCCCTTTTCTGCCTCCTGGGCTCGACCACAATGGAGACTGGCAGCCCGCGCAAGATCCAGTTCACTATGCCCCTGCTGGACTCCCATCTGGACCCAGAGGCTGCTGAGCAGGTGAGGGCGGGGGAGTCTGGCGTACTATAGCGAAAGACAGTGTGGAGCTGCTGATGTATTATAGGCATGTTAATTAGCTGTTTCACTCTCATTCATGAAAGTGTAATAGAATGGTAGCTTCAAATACTGACAGATTTCCATCTTGCATTGGATCTACTTCTTGCAACTAGTTTGTTTTAGCTACAATTCCCCCACATTTTGATGTTGATGAGACTGGGACATTGCTTCCCATTTTAGTACAGTAAACAGATACTGATTGCACATGGACAGCCTGCGTTAAGATTCAGGAAGGATCCTCTGGTTCTGTGTTCAGCAGCAGTGAAAAGAGGGTTTGTTTAGGGAGAAAGAAAAGATCTTGAAGTCTCCTGGTTACTGCAGGGCACAGTACGAGTAGCCCTGCCAGGTTACACCACCCAGAAATGTCGAGGGAGATTGGTATATCTTCAGTCTGTTGTGTCTCTGTTATTGGGTACATAGATATTATTTCAGGACGCACATAATATTTGTTAAAAATTGTACAAAGACTACTGTATGTACAACCACGGTGAGATCCTTACTCACAAGCACACAGGAGCTACCTACAGTATACTATTCCCTGTTTAGGATTAAGACTTGCAGCTCTGATGCTTGAAAATTCAGTGTCTGCAGAGGGTCCAGAGAGAGCTGTTATGATACTTGTTGTAGCCACTGTGCCATGGGAAGAAGGATGACCAGGATATAGCTCATAAGAATGTCTGAAGGCTTGAAGTGGACGGCTAGTAATTGCTCTGCAGTGTTTGAAAGGAGTTGGATTAAAAAAAGCCAGGGTCAAACAAATCAAACCTCAGTCTCGATTCTTTCTTCTGCGGGTCCCATCTCTGTCCCTCTGTGGGGCAGTGGAGATCAGAGTGGAAGTGTGTCTAGAGATTCTGCGTCTTGTGTCCTAGAGATCCCACTCATTCAGCAGCACAATGAGAATATGTCTTGAGCTATCGCTCACACAATTATTAACCCTTCAAAACTGCAGCTAGATTGCAGCGACAGAGAAAAACAGAGACGTGCCAGCTGTGTTTTTACAGGGGGTAGCAAAACCTAATCTTTTGAACCAGGAGAGGAAAGCATTTATCAGCAGACACTTAGAATACCACTGCCTACTGCACTGCCACAGCTCAGCTGGCCAAATTCATATCTGCTGCACACTTTGGAAGAGGGAGGGTAGTTCATGCTCGCAGTAGTACCGAGTTAAAGGACTGGGTATAGGAAGGCTTGGCAGGATGTGTGCTTTTCACATAATACCATAATAAAATACAGTCCTCTTAGTCTAAGGCGGTTGGGCTTAATTGAACCAGTAGAACAGGTCGAAGAAGTGTGTTCTGCCCTTAAAAAACGAGTATCACCGCTGTCTAACAGACTTGCAAATCAGGTACATTTAAGAAACATACAGTACTAGTGTACCCCCCTGCCGGTGTTGGGTAACCTCCTGTCTCTCCATGTGCTGAACAGACACGACTCTCCCAGTGTGCCGAAACTCAGGGATACGAAGCAGCTTTCATGCTGCTACTAATCCACAGACACACACTCACAAAATAAACAGATAATTAATTGCAATTATGGCTTTGAACAGAGAGGCTCCCTGAACAATTAGCAGGTAGCAAAGTCGACTTGAGTGAAGCCATTACCTTTACAATGGGAGTGCATTTTACTGTATGTACAGTACAGCAAAATTATTTTTTATTCATTCAATTTTTATAAAATCTATCAAGACATACAGTATAACACTGTAGACAAAAATATTCTGACGCAGTCATGACGCCCAAAATCGGTGAACATCCTCGGTTTCATTTTTTTCCCTTTATTTCCTATAAGTCTCTTTTAGCATGTCTGTTTCTAAACTGACTCAGTGTATTTTTATCAGCAATTTGCTGTTCTCTCACAAATGACAGGGAACAGAGAGCTTTGCCTTTGAAAGCAGGACAGTGAGTACATTACCGAGCACTGTTGTTTACTCACTTGTGCATTCGTGATGGCCCGTGAACTGATTGTTTAAAGCAGAGACGCTGTGCCCTGTACTTGGTGTCCTGTTGCCAGCATTGATTTCCTGGAACACTATCATCTCTCTGAAGCAGCAGATTCTGTTCAAACACAGCGCTGATTTCAACACTGTGTGGGGTGAGGTCACTGTGCCCTGGGTTGAGAGTGCTGGCCCACACTGATCCCTGTGATTTGCTATATGCTATGTGCTCTGGCATTGTCACCTTTGCTTCGGTAACCTTACCTGGTACCGGTCATGTGCGATTTGCTTGTCTGCCTTTAAAATATTTTAACCAGTGCTTCGGTTAATAAATAAGAAAGTGCTCAGCTCAAGCCGCCCTTCTGTGCTGACAACTCATAAATCCTGAAATGGATCAAGCTGCTCTGCAGCTGGAGTCTTGTTTGCTGTTTTTGCCTTCTATTACCTGTTTAAGAATAGATGTGTTTTGGGATTGAAAAGAAATAGTCAAATCTCTTGTGGTTGATCAGACAGGTAACTTGATTTTTATGGGGGATCAGACAGGTAACTAGAGGTAACAGCTCAGCCATGGTGACACACTGGGAGCCACTTGTAGTTTCCAAGCAATTTTCACCTGGTCTGGGCTTCCAGTT